TTTTTTTTTTTTTTTTTTTTTTTTTTTTTTTTGAGACGGAGTTTCGCTCTTGTTACCCAGGCTGGAGTGCAATGGCGCGATCTCGGCTCACCGCAACCTCCGCCTCCTGGGTTCAGGCAATTCTCCTGCCTCAGCCTCCTGAGTAGCTGGGATTACAGGCACGCGCCACCATGCCCAGCTGATTTTTTGTATTTTTGGTAGAGACGGGGTTTCACCGTGTTGACCAGGACGGTCTCGATCTCTTGACCTCGTGATCCACCCGCCTCGGCCTCCCAAAGTGCTGGGATTACAGGCGTGAGCCACCGCGCCCGGCCATCATCACTATTCTTTAAACAAGCATAAAGAAGAAAACAAAAGCCCTGTCGCCCTGGAGGTTAGCATCGGTTATTTTTGGGGTACAGTGCTTCCTAATGTGTCCTGTGTGCTTTGTCCAAAAGTGGGATCTATCTTTGCACACTGGTTTCTGCCTTGCCTTTTTCTTTTTTTGAGACAGGGTCTTGCTGTGTTGTCCAGGCTGAAGTGCGATGGTGTGATTGGCTCACTCTAACCTGGAACTCCTAGGCTCAAGCGATTCTCTCACCTCAGCCTCTTGAGTATCTAGGACTACAGGCATGCACTTCCACACCCGGCTAATTTTCTTACTTTTTTCTGGAGGTGGGGTCTTGCTATGCTGTCCAGGCTGGTCTTGAACTCCTGGGCTCAAGCAATCCTCCTGCCTCAGCCTCCCAAAATGCTGGGATTGCAGTCATGAACCACCATACCTGGCTGGCTTTTTCTTAAAGTCAGGATTATTGAGGTATAGTTAATATACAGTAAAATTCCGCCCTTTTAACTGAGAATATAGCTCTATGGATTTTGTCAAATGTATCTCACCATGACACCGCCCCTTGAGTCTTATGTCATGGACCTCCTTGCATGGCAGTGGAAATAACCAAAATACCCAACCAGGGCGGACTTTTTTTTTAAGAGAAAGGCTTTGCAAGAAAGCATTTAAGCAGTCCCCTAGGGTTGGGCATGGTGGTTGCTTTGCGACCTTCACACTGATAAACAGTGCTGGGGAGCGTCCTTCTTCCTTGTGCTTGGGAGGGGCCTGATCCTCAGTGCAGTGACAGGACCTAGGTGGGCAAACATGTGCCTTTGTGCTCTCCTCCCAGACCCCAGAACCCTGCCATCTCTCTAAGCCCCTGCCCTCTCCCTCCCTCTCCTCCTGCTGTAGGGAACCGGCTGGATGAAGGCTCGGACGTGGAGTCGGAACCTGACCTCCCGTTGAAGCGCAAGCAGCGCCGCAGTCGGACCACATTCACGGCCGAGCAGCTGGAGGAGCTGGAGAAGGCCTTTGAGAGGACCCACTACCCAGACATCTACACCCGTGAGGAGCTGGCGCAGAGGACCAAGCTGACCGAGGCGCGTGTGCAGGTGAGGAGGCATCCCGGTGTTGGTGCTGCAGGTATACTCCAGAGATTCAGAAGTTCGGGATGGCCAAGGTCAGTGGCTTTAATGGGACCCCCTCTGGGGGTCTGCACCAGGCTCAGGGGGTTGTATAGACAAGTAATGCCACCAGCAGTTAATGCAGAGTTAGGAGACCCACACCTGTAATCCCAGCATTTTGGGAGGCTGAGGCAGGTGGGTAACTTGAGGTCAGGAGTTAAGATCAGCCTGGCCAACATGGTGAGACCCCATCTCTACTAAAAATACAAAAATTAGCCTGGTGTGGTGACGGGCACTTGTAATCCCAGCTACTTGGGAGGCTGAGGCAGGAGAATCACTTGCACTGGGGAGGGGCAGGTTGCAGTGAGCTGACTGCACTCCAGCCTGGGCAACAGAGCGAGACTCCATCTGACAAAGCAAGAAAGAAGGGAGGGAGGGAGGGCATTAGTTCAGCCAGAAGAGAGGGTTTGGGGAATATAAAAATCTCCAAATCTCTGATGAGCAGAGGAAGTGATCAGGAGGAAAATTTCCAAACAAGCCTAGCTTGCTCAGATGGGTGATGAGTGTCCCATTATGGGAAGCATGCAAGCAGACTGGGCAGGCAGGTTAGATGCACCAGGGCAGGGTGGGCGGCCCCTGAAGACCCTGAACATCCCCTCCATGGCCTCAGCGTGTGGGAAGGAAGAGGAGAGAAGAGCAAGAGCCTCCGACAATTGCTTGTCGACACAACCCCCAGAAACTGCTGAGGACTGCCTAGCCTGCCCTGGGTTGGTGGCTGGGGCAAAGGTCTGCCGCAGGGGGTCTGGGGGTGTTGCCTCGCCTCCCCAGGCCAAGCTCTTGAATTCCAGGAGACCTACAGTTAGTTGTTCTCCAAGTGCAGGAGCCTCTCTGGGGGCCTGATGGGAAAGGGCAGAGGCTGGAGGGTTGGGGATGGAGGAGGAAGAACTGGGACAGGTGGTGATGGATGGTTCTTGTGGGAATCAACTCCAGGGCTGCCTTCTCCATGGATGGGGAGGCATAGAGAGAGGAGAAAGATCCCCGTTACCAGAATCTAAGCAGTGCTCAGGGAGTCAGAGCGGCCTGCAGAGGGGCCGCCCCAAACTGTTGACAGCGAGCACTCTTGTCCCAGAGGAAACAGCCCTTGCCTGGCACCCACTTGGTGCCACTGGCATTGCTTGGGCTGCTTCTCACACGTGACCTGGTGGAAGCTCAGACCACCTTGTCGGGTCAGTATGGTCACCCCCTGTAAGCCACGGGTGCAGAAACTGGAAGTTCAGAGAAGCAGCTTGGCCAGGGGCCCGGGCTGGATGAGGGCTGAGCCAGGCCCAGCAGCTGGCAAAACCCACATCCTTTCCATCCAGGGGAAGGAACAAGTTGAGTCAGAAGCTGGAATTTGAAAGCAACTGGGACAATCCTAGAAGCAAGGGGTGTTCAGCACTCCAGGACCCAGCGGACACCCGTCAGCCCCCTGTCCCCACTCCCAGAGTGGGGCCCTTCGCTTCCTTTGAGGGAGACCCCAAGGGGAAGGGGGCAGGCGTCGGCAGCCAGCTCATCTCATTCCCTCCCCTCTTGTCCGAGGTGATATCCGAGCTGCCTGGCTCCAGGCCCCCCTCCCGCTCTGATCCTCCTGCAGCTGTTCTCCTGGGCACATTCCTGGGCGCTTTCTTGTTCCCTTGTCTGGAGGCCACGGCGGCTTCCCACCACCTTGAAGCCTGACTGCTCCTTGTAAAATTTCCTGGCTGTCAGAGCAGTGCTTTTATTGGCCCAGGGGACTCAGAAACAGGTGTCACTCAAGGTCCACGGAAGGAGGGGGTCTGGGAATGGAGAAGCAGCCAGACCGCAGGCGAAGCCATCCTGAGGGGGCTGGGCCGGCCTCCTGTGCCTTGTGGACTTCCTATCATACTCTGGGCTTCCCCAGTGCATGGGGCTCTCTCTAGGACAAGGCAGGACTCCCCATTAGACCACAATCTGTCCCAGGATAGGGCTGGATCTCCCCACTTAGCCTGAGAGCTTTCTCAGAGAAGAGGGAATAAAAAGTGTTGAGTTTTTAAAGAATAAACAAAGGGTTTGGCGCGGTGGCTTACACCTGTAATCTCAGCACTTTGGGAGGCAGAGGTGGGCAGATCACCTGAGGTTGGGAGTTTGAGACCAGTCTGACCAGCATGGAGAAACCCCATCGCTACTAAAAATACAAAAGAATTAACTGGGCATGGCATCATGCACCTGTAATCCCAGTTACTCTGGAGGCTGAGGCAGGGGAATCTCTTGAACCCAGGAGGCAGAGGTTGTGGTGAGCGGAGATCATGCCATTGCACTCCAGCCTGGGCAACAGAGCAAGACTCTGTCTAAAAAAAAAAAAAATTAGCTGGGCATGGTGGCACATGCCTGTAATCCCAGCTACTTGGGAGGCTGAGGTGGGAGAATGGCTTGAACCTGGGAGGTGGAGGTTGCAGTGAGCCAAGATCGCACCATTGCACTCCAGCCTGAGTAACAAGAGTGAAACTCCATCTCAAAATAAACAAATAAATACATACATACATACATAAACAAAGGTTGACCAAAAAAAGAAATCAAGAGCATTTAGCCTGGAGAAGTGGAGACTTGAAGGACACAGCTGCTCTGAGAGTCCCCAGAGGGTGAGCCCAGGGCCAGCGTCAAGAGAGGAGCATCTAAAGTCCAACATAAAGGTCTATAGGAAGAGAGCTTGGGACTGAGAGCTCCTGGGTTTCTACCTCCGTCAGCTGTGTCACCTTCAACATGTCAATTTCCTCTCCTGAGACTTCATTTTCTATCCGCTAATAAGGGGATGAAACTCAACAATCACTAAGTCCCTTACAGTTCTAGGACCCTTATTTATTGACAGTCAGGGATGCTTTGTGAGGTGATGAGAATCCCATGACCAGAGGTGTTCAAACAAAAGCACAGGGTCCAGTCAATCAGGGACCCTGGAGTTAAGACCTCCAAGTCCCCTGAGTACTGCTGAGATTGTATGACTTCATACATTTTACATCTTGGTCTTTGATTCTAAAGGTCTGTGGTTCTGGGATTTTTCCCATCCTATAATATCTCATCTCGGTGGCTCTGGGAGATGTGGGGGTTAGTGGATTGGTTCAGGGTAGGCTCAGAGCCAAATGCCTAGATTTGGATTCCAGCCCCACCTCTTCCCCTCTCCACCCTCCACCCGTCTCTCACCTGCAAGATGATGATATTAATGTCTCCCTTGCTCTGAGGATTAAATGATTACATGTAAAAACAAAATGGAAGTACCTGCACACAGAAATGCCAGAAATGGGGGTTCTTACTAAAACTCTGCCTGTTCTTGGCAACTCCAATTCTAGCCACCTTTGCATCTCCAGGTGCATTCACCCAGCAGTCATTTATGGAGTCCTTGCTGTGTGCCAGGCGCTGTTCTAGGCATTGGGGATTCACCGGGCAAAAATCTCTGCTGTCTTGAAGCTGGCATTCTCATAAACACGTGCACAGGTAGACATGATGGCAGCCAGGGAACTGGTCACTAAAAAGTGGCCCGTTATCCCCTCTGGCTCCCTCCAGCCCTGCTTCCCTGCCGCGGCCAGGAGCCTCTGCTTGAAACCTGCTGGATGTCACCACTGCCTGCAACACCTCTGCCTCAGCCAGGAGAAAGACAGAGCCATGGGAAGGGCAGGCAAGGGGGTGTCAGGCAGGAGAACCCATGCCTGGAAACCCATCTTTTCTTTCTCTGGAGTGATACATATGTCTCCCTTAGAGGTGAACCGGTCCATTTATTTTCCTGGGTGCTCCAACCCTGAGCCTGTGAATTTCTTCTAGAAACAGAGGCTGCAGAGCTGATAGGTCCCAAGGTCACCCCATGGCCTCTCCCACAACTGCCTGTGACAACTCCCCCATCCTTCAGATGACCAGCACCAGGAAACTAGGGCTGTACACAGCCCCTCTTTACTTTGCGGTCCTTGGAAGCCTGCTGCTTGCTCGGGGTAGGGGTGGGATGTTCTGAACAGAAATTCCATTGTGGAAGCACTACAGAGATTTACTAATTAACAGCTTATACCGAATCTCTTAATAGTACTAGGTAGCATTCCTGATGCATTGCTTTTAATAATAATTTAATTGTACCTTTAAAAAAAGGCAGGCAGGTCACGAGGTCAGGAGATCAAGGCCATCCTGGCCAACACGGTGAAACCCCATCTCTATTAAAAATACAAAATTAGCCGGGCATGGTGGTGTACGCCTGTAATCCCAGCTACTTGGGAGGCCGAGACAGGAGAATTGCTTGAACCTGGGAGGTGGAGGTTGCAGTGAGCCGAGATCGCACCATTACACTCCAGCCTAGGCATCAGAGCGAGACTCTGTCTCAAAAAAAAAAAAAAAAAAAAAGTATAATTGGACTGTTTGTAACACAAATGGCAAATGCTTGAGGTGACGGATACCCCATTTACCTTCAATGTGATTATTATACATTGTATGCTTATATGAGAATATCCCCTCTACCCCATAAATATTCATATGTACTATGTAGCCACAAAAATAAAACATTAAAAAAAGGACACAGTTCATAAGTGACTGTGCTGGGACTTGAACCAGTCAGTCTGCTCAGGTCCGTTTCCCCTGTGCTACGTGAAGAGACGGGCCAGATGGAGTACTGGTCTCCGTCCGCAGACGGCGGCAACTGTACCCTACTCACAACGTGGGGCATTGAGAGAAGGATCAGAAATGAAGAATAAAACCCAGCCCCTGCTTTCAAAGAACTCAATCCTGACCAAGGACTCTGGGTAGGGTGCTGGGGCTGTCGCTGTCCCTCTTACAGCATTTATTTTGCCCTCTGTAAATCAGCGGCTCACAGGAGACGCTGGCAGAGACCCTCCCAGCTTAGCCATCTCAGAGGGTCTCCAGCAGAAGGATAGTTACATGCGGCTGATGCTGTTCTAAGCACATTGCCTGTGCCAACTCATTTGAGGTCCAGAACCACGTAGGAGGTGGCTGTTATTAGCCCCATTTTACGAAAAACTGAGGCACAGAGGGAAAAGAAAAACTTTCCCATCTTAGGAGTTAGAGGCAGAATTCCAGCCCAGGCAGTTGGCTCCAGAGTCCCTGCTCTCAATCATCCTGTTACACTTAGTGGGAAGGGAGATGCGTACTGGGAGTGATATGGACCTCAGGATATAGGGCAATGAAGGAAGAAGAGATGACAGAACTGGCAACAAAGGCATGCCCTCTCCTCCAGGAAGTCTTCCCAGATTCTGAGAGGCAAAGTTGGAAGCCCCTCCTTTGAGCTCCTTATCTAACCTTGCATGTCACCCCATCTGGGTTTACTGCACTGAAAAGCAGCTTCTCTTTGACTCGTGCCCAGGCAGAAGGCAGCTTGAGGGCTAGGACGGGGTCCTGTCCATCTCTCCAGCCTGTGTCTTGCTTGGCACAGAGAGGAGTCCAAGTAAAAGTCTGAGGCCAGAAGGCAGAAGGTAAGAAGGAAGGGAAGAGTAGGAAAAGAAAGGGAAGGAAGGAGAAGGGAGGGGAAGGAGGAAGAATGCTTCCCACTTTCTTCAGCATTCTTTTCTTGAGGAAAAGACAAGAGCTGCACCTAAGGACCAGCTGCGACATAACAAACTAGAATGGCGCATGCCAAATGCCCAGCATTCTCCAACCCATTCCAAGACGTTTGCCACGGTCACATATTATCTCTATTATTTACTTTTCAGTGAAATCTATGTGTTTTAAAATAAAAATGCACAACACTCCCATAAAGGGAAGGCAATTGTACACACACACGCACACGCACACGCACACACGGAAAACAACACAACATGATGAAAGCCTTTCAGGAAACTGTCACCTGCAAACGCCTCCTCTCCCTGCCTTCAAAAGGGAGATCAGCACAGGTTAGAAAGGTGCTGAGGATGCATTAGCACCAAACTCCTCTTCCCGCTTCCCCATGCCCAGGAGGCCTGGGTGAGAAGTGGAGTGGAATAACTTACTTCAATAACCTCATGTCCTGGTTATTGAATTCTGTTTCTCCAACATGGAGCGGAGGTAGGAGGCCCACTGTTTGGGAAACACTGAATTAGTACAAAGACCACCCCACGGGAGCCTGGGAGCTCGGAGACAAGGCCTGCCCTTGCAGGGCTCCCTCTCCAGCATCCCTCCCACACCAGGGTGCCCTGGGGTAGCCCTCAGTGCCCTGCCGAAGTGGGGAGAAGACCAGACTTTAAATCCACTGGAGGTCAGTTGTTTTCCCTCCAGGTTTGGCTGCCTCCTCTCCTTTCTCTGTGAACCCTAAACAAGTCAGAGGCAGCAGCTCTGTTTATCTAGACTGAGAAGCTGAACACTGCTTTTTCCACCCTGGAAGGATGACATTAGGGGCATGAAAGCTCCCTCTACCTGGCTGCCCTGCCCTCCCCCATCTCGGCAGATACTGTGCAGAGATTTGGTGGTCTTGGGTGATCAGGTGCCCAGGGAGATTGGGGTCTTCATCCCTACATCAGGATGGGACACCAACCAAGCCTTGTGGCCCCAGCCCCAGCAAAGATGCTCCAGAGCCAACCCTGCCTCCCCTTGTTCATTCATTCATTCATTCATTCATTATTCGCTCTTTCATTCATTCAACAAGTATTCCCTGAACACTCACTGAGCTCCAGGCATTGAGCAAGGGATGCATGGCCTCTGTCCCATGGAGCTTGGCCTCGAGAGGGACATCAGGAGCAGCACAACAAAGAAACAAGTCAATGGAGTCATAGCTCCTATGGGGAAGCACAGAGGCAGGAGGCCCCCGAGAGAAGACGGAGAACCTACCTGAACCCACCTTATATGCGACGATTAGGGAGTCTGAGTAGGAGGAAGTATTTCAGCTGAGCTCTGAAGGCCAAAGAGTCAGCTGCGGGCAGTGTTCAGGTGAGAGGGACCAGCATGTGCAAAGCCCAAAGTGGAAAAGAGCCCCTCCAGGCAGCCCCAGAGTGCACCCTTATTCTCCTCTTTCTCTGATCTCTCCCAGGAAACTTGCAAAGCCACATAAGTGGGCCCCAGAAAGCTAGACTGATTTTAAGTTTGAACATCAGCTCCAACACAGACTAGCTATGTGGACTTGGGCAAGCAATGTGACCTCTGTGAGCCTTGGTTTCCCCTTCTGTCAAATGGGAATAGGAGAACACGTCTTATGGGTCTGTGTATGGATTGACACGTGAAGTGCCGGCACGGTGTTTGCAGGAAAGGGAGACAAAGATTTTGGGTTATTATCCCACTAATGTTTGATAAATCCCTCTGTGTGTGTGTGTGTGTGTGTGTGTGTGTGTGTGTGTTTCCTATTTCAAGGAGGCTCAGGGTAGGTAAGCAAAGTAGAGCCTCCGTCTCCAGAAACATAACCCAGCTTGCACATCTGGGTACATTCAGGTGGATTGCAGATGTGTGGCTTCCTCCTGGGGGGCTTCCTGGAGGAGGTGGTCAAGCAGGGAACCAGCATCCCTTGAGGAAGGAGCAGCTGCAGTGGAAAGAGCACTGGACTGAGAGCCACACAGGACTGGCTAGGCCACTGACTCACCCTGGCCCATGGACAAGTCACCCATTTTCTCTGGGTCTCAGTTTCCTCATCTGCAAAATGGGGATAATATAGAACCCCCTCACTGGTGGTTGTGAAGGCAGAATGCGGACATGGCTAGGAAAACACTTTGCAAACCGCCCCACCCTGTGCAATGCCGGGGATTTCCCTCCCTGTGGGAGGATGCTGTCTGGGTCAGAGGGTGATGGCTTGGGCACCTGAATCTAGCTGTATTGCAGCTCTACGTCAGGAACCTGGCTGAGGGGTCTCCATTCTCTGCTCTCCATTCCCCAGGTCTGGTTCAGCAACCGGCGCGCCCGTTGGCGTAAGCAGGCAGGAGCCAACCAGCTGGCAGCATTCAACCACCTGCTGCCAGGAGGCTTCCCGCCCACCGGCATGCCCACGCTGCCCCCCTACCAGCTGCCGGACTCCACCTACCCCACCACCACCATCTCCCAAGGTAAGTGTCTCGGCCCCGTCCTGCCATCTCAGTGGCGCCCCTTCCCTTCTTTCCTTTCACTTACAAGGATTTTTTTTAAATGACCGTTTCTGACTTGCATATGAACAGACTATTAAAACAAAAAAGATGCAATCCTGCGCTTAAAATTCGTGGCCCTGACTCAGAGCAGAGAGGCACGGTCCCCAAGGCAGCCCCTGTGCTCCTGTTTAGAACTGAGCACCTCAAATGGTACCATGAACGTGGATCTACTGGGGATGTTATTACAATGCTGGTCTGGGTGAGGTCCAAGATTCTGCACTTCTAAAAAGCCCCCTGGGGATGCCGTTGCTGGGGCGTGGGCCAGGCTTTGAGCAGGGAGGATGTGGAGCAGAGGACACTGGGCCGACCAGCTTTGGAGGGAAAAAGCCAGATCTCCAAGGACTAGTTTTTAAAATGAGATCATGGTATGAGTGCATGTGTGAGTGTGAGTACGTGCATGAGTGTGTGCGTGTAAACGTGTGTGTACTTGCTAGGAGGACATTGGAACCGTTTCTTTTTAGATTATGTTGGTCTCCAACCTATGACCAAAAAAATTTAGAAAGGGGCTTAAATAATTTGCTGGGACCTCATTTTCTTGCCTGTCTCTCAAAAGATCCATTTTCACAGATGGAATAAAGGTCAAGGTCTCCCTTGAGGACCTGAGAAAGCTCCCTCTGAGAGATTCCTCCCACTCTTGTGTGAACAGCTCTAGGCCAGGCTGGGCTGAGAGGGGTCAGAACCCTGAGGTCTGCCTGGGAAGGAGGCCTCCCTCGGGCCCAGTTCTCCCAGTGGCTTGAAGCAGAAGATTCCCTTCTAGCTTTGGAAAGGGGTAGGCAGAGGGAAGAAGGTGAGTGGGAGGGAGAGGCTAGGGGATCAGAGGGGCCTTGGGAGGGGAAGGGGAAGGCTGAGTCCCAGGAAAGAAGGTGAGCCTTGTAGGGGAAGAAGGGTTCCCTCCCCCTCCCTCCCAGACCCTGCCCATTCCGCACACACCCCCCTCCCCATGCCCTGTCCCAGCACACACCAGGAATAGCAGTATGTGATATTGGCCTCATGGGCCAGGCACAGTGGCTCACACTTGCAATTCCAGCACTTTGGGAGGCCGAGGCAGAAGAATCACTTGAGGCCAGGAGTTGGAGACCAGCCTGGCCAACATGTGAAACTCCATCTCTACTAAAAATACAAAAAAAAAATTAGCTGGGCATGGTGGCATGCATCTGTAATCTCAGCTACTCAGGAGGCCAAGGCAGGAGAATCGCTTGAACCTGGGGAGGAGGCAGAGGTTGCAGTGAACCCACATCATGCCACTGCACTCCAGCCTGGGCAACAGAGCGAGACTCCATCTGCAAAATAAATAAATACATTTTTAAAAAGTAGCTACCTCGTAAAGCCTGCTCTTAAATGGCTGGCAGGCTGGAGTTCTGGAGGCCAAGGAGAGAGGTGAAGAACCCCCTCCACCACCACTGCGATGTTGTAAGATAAATTGAACCAGTGCTGAGGGTCCCCGCCCCAGCATGCCTGCACAGAGGGGTTCACAGCCCAGCAGCAAAGAACAGAGCGGGCTCCGGAGTCAGGCCGTTCCAATCCTGGCCCATCCCTCACAAGCCTTGTCATCTTGTGTGAGTGCCCTGAGCCCACCAAGCCTCGGTTTCTTCATCTGTAAAATGGGATTTATAGTCTTGCTTCATACCCTTAGGCAGCATTTGTAAAAGCACCCGGCAAGTGGTTGATGCTCACAAGACGAAACAGGCCTGAGTAGATTAACAGAGTTCCCTTTGAGGTCTGGCTTTCAGTCCAGCTGACATTTATTGAGCACCTACTGTGTGCCAAGCACTGAGCAACAGGGGCTGGTGTGCAGTTGCCTAGGGGTTGTCTGGAATGTTGGGCTGGCAGTCAAGACCTGGCCAGTGACCAGTGCCCGCCCAGGAGCCAGCTCCTCTCATCCCAGGTAGCATGAGAAGGGGGGTCCCTCCCCTCCAAGGGCTGGAGACTGGGCGGAGGAGGCTCATGGTGTGCCTTCTGCTCTTGGAGGCCCAGCCTGCAGGGTGAGGTCACTTGCTTAGGACCTCTCTTGGGTCTCTCTACAGATGGGGGCAGCACTGTGCACCGGCCCCAGCCCCTGCCACCGTCCACCATGCACCAGGGCGGGCTGGCTGCAGCGGCTGCAGCTGCCGACACCAGCTCTGCTTACGGGGCTCGCCACAGCTTCTCCAGCTACTCCGACAGCTTCATGAACCCGGCGGCGCCCTCCAACCACATGAACCCGGTCAGCAACGGCCTGAGTCCGCAGGTAGGTGGCCTCAGCCCAGCACCCAGGGTCCCGTCGCCACGAAAGTCAGGCATTTGTGGACCGCATGTTGGTGGAAACCTTGCGATCGTTCCTGTAGGAGGCGGGCTGTGGTTGGAGTTTTTATTCTAGAACCAGGAATCCTCCCTGGATTCTGTCCTGCGCTCTTGGCTTTTCACCAGGAGTGACCAATTCCTGAAAGGCAGGATCGTGTCCTGTTGGTGGAGGGAATGGCCCATGGGGTTCTGGGCTGGTAACTCTACCCTGATTGGTCACTGAACTCTGTTTGCTTCTGTGTGATTGGTTAAGTCACTCATTGCCTGGGGGTGCTGTTAGAAGTCACTCATTGCCTGGGGGTGCTGTTAGAAGTCACTCATTGCCTGGGGGTGCTGTTAGAAGTCACGGGACCTGCTTTGGATGACGTCAGGGAGATAATGCGGGTGCCGATGGTGGTGATCGGTGAGTTTGGGGCACAGGACTTGATGCTGGAAGTCCCAGTGAACTTGAGGGACTGATGGGCTCAGTTTTTGTAGCTTCAGCAGGCTCCCAAATATCCGTGGGGAAGGAATGAAATCCCCGCCTCCCCAGCCACGTGTCTGTGGTAAGAATCCACTGCAGGTGACGCAAACCGATCTGAAGAGCCATAGTGTGGGAGAAAAGTGAAGGCTTTGGCGTGGGTCTAAATCCCAGCTCTACTGCTCAGGGGGCTCTGAGGCAAGTCAGCATCTGTGAGCCTCAGTTTACCACCCATTAAGCAAGGAGAGTCTGTTATTAACCTCTCAACACGGGGCGCCTGCCACATTCAGCATGCTAACAGGTCAGAACACTTAGCCCGGAGCCTGGTACAAAATCAGTGCCCAGTAAATATTAGTTCTCTGGCCTTCCCATTGCCAGGACAATATAATTAATATGGGACACCCGCTACTTAAAAGGAGAATAAAAAGAAGTCAGAGAAGACCAGCAAGCTACATCCTGTGGGCCATGTCTGTCCAGCTCCCTGTTTTTTGTAAATAAAGTTTTATTGGAATACAGCCATATCCATTTGTTTATGGCGGCTTTTGTGCCACGATAGCAGAACTGAGTAGTTTTAAAAGAGATCATATAAGGCCAGGCATGGTGGCTCGCACCTGTAATCCCAGAACTTTGGGAGGCTGAGGCAGGTGGATCACCAGAAATCAGGAATTCTACCTGGTCAACATGGTGAAACTCTGTCTCTACAAAAATACAAAAATAGTCAGACGTGATGGCAGGTCCCTGTAATTTCAGCTACTCAGGGGACTGAGGTGGGAGAATCGCTTGAACCTGGGAGGCGGAGGTTGCAATGAGCCAAGATTACAACATTGCACACCAGCCTGGGTGATAGAGTGAGACTCCATCTCAAAGGAAAAAAAAAAGAGAGATCATATGGCCCACAAAGCCTAAAATATTTACTATCATCAGACCCTTACAGTAAATTTTAAAAAAACAAACAAAAAAAAACCTTGTTGTGAAATATTCCTGAGAATGTGAAGTTTCTGCTTGCCTGGATTCATTTCTGTTTCCCTCCATTAATTTGTGTAGTTGAGGGTTAATTGCATTTAAGTTCTATCGTTTATTTATGAGAAAGCCCTTGAGTAAGTTCCTTCCCCTCTCTATGCCTCAACCTTCTCATCCATGAAATGGGAATAATCCCAGTTCTTGCCTCCCAAGATTGCTGAAGATTGAATGAGATGATCTGTAGAAGGCACGCAGCTCAGGCCTGGCACAGAGGGAGTGCCCAGTGCCTTTAGGCAGCTGCCTGCAGAGCTCCTAGTGATGTACCAAGCCCTCTGAGGCTCCACAGTGTGGAGGCTGATGCCACTGACCTGGCTGGCCTTGTCAGCCCCAGCTCTAGTCCTCACCAGCCCACCCCACTCTCTTGCTGTGATTCCAGGTGAACTAAAGCCTGCACATGTAATACAGTCTGTCGGCCAGAATGTCTTTCCTGGGGACCCCGGTTGGCCTCTTTGAGGTTCAAGGTCATGGCCTCCATCTCATTAGTGCTAACCTTCCAGAGCCCTTGAATAAGTCCCAGAGCCCTTGAGATGAGTCACAACAGGATCCCCGAGCTGGCTGGGGGAGGATGCTGCAGAAATCCAGAGTGTCCACACCCAAGAATGAAGTCTGGGCCCAGCTTGGTGGCACAAAACAAATTTGGAGGAGTGCCCTTAGAAAGCTGAAGAGGGACTTTGGAGTTGTGTGCACAGCCGTCTTGCTTTGGAGATGGAGGGCCCGGGTGTGCATTGATCAGGCCAGGGTTGAGAGTCCAGGGCATCTGACTCGGTGACCACTGTTCTTCCCAGCCCGCCCTGTCTCACTGTGGGCTGAGGTTTATCCCCAACACAGGGCTCTGTTACAGGACAGAGGAGAGATTTAGCAAATAAGAAGCCCCAGGCCTTCAGAGTGTGGGTTGGGGATGGGAAACGGACCCATTGGGATGAGCAGTAGATCAAGGAGGAGCATCCCCCATAGCTAGGAGGCTTCAGAGTTGGATGCTGTGTTTTCCACCCTTTCCTGGAATTTCCTAAGTTGGACCCCCAGCCCTCCACCCAGCCCAGGATTTCACTGATGTTGAAAGCAAGAGACCCTCAGGAGGCCTCCAGCCCATTCCTCAGGGCTGGGAGGCTGACATGATGAATTGGAGAAGCTCCGAGGCTTACCCAGAGGCTCCCATCAAAGGTGTGAAGACAGATGGAGGGTCTGACAGGGGCAGAGGGGACCAGGAGGTGAACAGCTGCTGGAGGAGAGCAGATGCAGGGCCAGTAGGGCAGGCTGTATGTGCTTCTGTGCGTGTGAACCGCAGAGGTTAAGAGGTGAGCACTTCCTGAAGGACGGGTGCAGCGAGTGGGTGGGAGCTTCTGGGTATTGCACAAAAGCTCCCAGGCTTGCTAAGCTCCGACTCCCACTGCCCTCCCTCCTCGGTCTGGGCAGGTGGACTTGACACCATCAGCGCATCGCTGTGGTCCCGGGAGGTGCCGGGCCAGGAATCCTCTGCACGTAAGGATCTGTAGGGACGGATCTGCCTTCTGCATCCTCTCTTCCCGACAGGACCAGCTTCTCTGTAGCTCAGCCAGGCAGGAGGGACAGGATAGACTTCCCCCTGGGCTGTGGGGTCAGCACAATGTCCCTTTCCCCAGGATGGCAGTTTCCTGATATATTGCCCAGATGCCTGTAAACTGGACTTCTCAACTGGAAGAAATGTTTGTTCTTACACAAGCCAAAGGGACTTACACTGGAGAATGAAGCTATGTCTCTACCAAGCACCTGGGCAGACCCGGGATAAGCTAGGTGGGCAGCATGCTGCCAGCTTGCTACTACGGGGAGAAGACGTGCCTCCTCCAGTGGCTTGACCCAAGTCCCTTGGCTCAAACCCAGCCCGGGAAGTGGGGCCATGGCGCATCAGGGACTCCGTGCAGAATCTCACGGAAAAGCGACTTACTCATCTCTCGTCTCTGCGTGTGCCCCCTGGCTCAGAGGGGGTCACCAACATAATAAATGTTGATAGATATAGACACCTACTGTGTGCCAGGCACTGTTCTAGGCGCTCAGGATAAATCAGGGAACATGAGAGGAAAACCCTTGTACTGTCCTGGTGGAGGTGACAGTACAACAGGGTCAGTCAGACAGAAAATGCAATTTAAAAAATAATACGGTATGTTTAATACCAGTGTTGACAAGGATGGCTGAATTTTCTGGAGCACTTCTGACCTTCAGACCCTGCTCTGGGCGTTTTACATATATCAGTCCACTTAAAGGGTAGAGCCAGGATTCAAACCCATGTCTTTAGAGCCTGAGACCTCTTTCTTTCTTTCTTTTCTTTTCTTTCCTTCTTTCTTTCTTTTCTTTTTCTTTCTTTCTTTTTTTTTTTTTTGAGACAGAGTCTCACTTTGTCACCTAGGCTGGAGTGCAGCGGCACAGTCTCAGCTCATTGCAACCTCTGCCTCCTCCCAGGTTCAAGCAATTCTCCTGCCTCATCCTCCAGGGTAGCTGGAACTACAGGCATGCCCCACCATGCCCAGCTAATTTTTTTGTATCTTTAGTGGAAACGGGGTTTCACCATGTTGGCCAGGCTGGTCTTGAACTCCTGATCTCAAGTGATCCACCCACCTCAGCCTCCCAAAGTGTTGGGATTACAGGCATGAGCCACTGCACCTGGCCTAGGGCCTGAATCTTAGTTATTCATTGTCTTCCTACCTATCAGAAATGCCCATACCCCCACTCTTTTTAGAGATTGGCTGGTGCAAGAATAAATCACCTAGAGAGGCCAGTCCCTTCAGCCTGGTAGAGGAAACAGCTCATTCAACCCATGTGGTGGATGAGAAAACTGAGGCCAGTGACCTGAGATTAGGGACCAATGGGCAGAGCTGAGCTATATGGGGGAATGGCTTTCCAGAGGTTTCGATACCCTTGAGGCTTGGTTCCCTCGTAGTCTCCCCTGCCCGCCCAAGCCCCTGTCTAATAGGATTAGGGATTAGGCACTCAGCACATGGGTGTCCCTGGCTTCATGCACTGAGTCCTACTGAAGAGATGTAGGGAAAAGGAATCCTCCCCGCGAGACCTCATTCCTGATGAGGGTCATCTGGGGTTAGGATCACAGGCTATTCCCCACCGCCAGCCCACTTTCTCCCCTTTGCTCCAGGCTGAGGGCCAGTTATCTGGACAATGATTGTTAGAAAACAACTTAGAGGTGGGGCACCGTGGCTCATGCCTGTAATCCCAGCACTTTGGGAGGCCGAGGTGGGAGGATCACCTGAAGCCAGGAGTTCAAGACCAGCCCAAGCAACATAGCGAGACACAGTCTCTATAACAAATATAAGAATTAGCCAGATACAGTGGCAGGAGCCTGTGGTTCCAGCTACTAGGGAGGCTGAAGTGAGAGGATTGATTGACCCAGGGAGATTGAGGCTACGGTGAGCTGTGATTGTGCTACTGTCCTCCAGCCTGGGCGACAGGGCGAGACCCTGTCTCAAAATTAATTAATTAAA